CTGGTGCAAATTACTGACCTCTGTCATCATTTTAAGTGGGGGAACTTGCACAATCGGTGGCTGACTAAATACTTTTTTGCCCCACTGTACATAACCAGCAGAAGCTACTATAACATACAGCTAGCATGCAAGTTAGCAGCAATAACTTATTACAAAGTTATAAGAGCTTAAAGCTGCTGTATAATGTTAATTCAGGTCACGTTTTTTTGTTGTTGTTGTTGTTGGGCTTTTTTTGTTATTGTGCGGCAAAGCAAATTTGCTGTATCAGTTGGGACAGCACAACAATACAGCGGACACACTAAACATGCAATGCAAAATTACAACATAAGGGCAAAAAATTATGAACATGCAAAATATAGTACAATACAGTACAGAGTACTATAAATAATATAATTAATATAAATAGTAGCAGATTATTGACTTTTAAGTAGTCTGCTATTGCTTATAAGTGGTTATAAAGCCAATTCTGAACAGATTTATTTTATTTTATTTTTTTAGTGGAATGATCCATAAGGGTATTAGACAGATATTGGTTCTGAATTGGTGCAACTCTCCTCACAATGTTTTCTTTGTTTCTTTTAGAGGGGAAGAAGACGAATCACTAGCAATTAAGCCTCCACAGCAAATAGCAAGAAAGGACAAATCTCACCACAGAAAAGAGGAGAAGCGAAAAGATAAAAGACGTCATCGCAGTCACTCAGCTGAAGGAGGTTCAGAGACTCTGCTTCACATGTTTTACAGATACATATTTTTATTTTTAGGGCTGTTTTTTCATGTCTGTTTGTTACTTAAACAGCAGGAAAACATGCACGACTCAAAGATAAAGAAAAAGAGCGTGAAAGCGATCGCAGGAAACGTCACTGGGAAGAGGACAAAGCCCGGCGAGACTGGGAAAGGCAGAAAAGAAGGGAACAGGCCAGAGCTCATTCACGTAGAGAGAGGTGAGCACCAACTTTGGCCAGAAGTAAATAATCTCATGTCAGTTCAGATAATTTCTGATAATTTTGCCTCTTTGATATTGTCAACGCTAACTTGTTTGAAAATCTGTTTTGTTGAACTTTTGTTGATTGCATGTCAGAATGTTAAATCCTGTCAGCGCTAATGTGTTTGATCATTTAAAAAAACACTAATTTTATATGTGATGTTTTTTTTTTAATTAAATAAAGACATGAAACATAAATAATTCAAGTTAATACTTAATTACTGTCCATTTAAAGAAACCAAAGAAAGCAGTGACAAGAGTGAACTTTGGATTATCCAAACAGACCTCCAGTGGACTCTGCTGGGTTTTTTTTGGATCACAGGGACCGACTGGAGCAGCTCGAGCGCCAGCGGGAGCGTGACCGAAAGCTCTGGGAACAGCAGAAAGAGCAACGAGAGCTAAAAGACCGGGAGAGGAGGGCTGAAGAGCGACGCAAAGAAAGAGGGACTCGACGAGAAGGTCAGTGAGTGTAACTAAACATGGTGTCCTTTCCCAGCTGTGTAATTTCAACACAGAAGAAGAGTCATAATTTTATTCTCATGTAACTGGGGAAGCAAATGTATTTAAGCAAGTAAGCAAATGTCTCAAAATGCTAAACTGTGACTTGATGGATTGGGATTTTTAGACCCTGCAGCCTGTCAGGCAAACCTGCATCAGTGATTACCTAATTAATTTTTCTCATCTAAAGTGCCATCTCGGATGCTACCTGAGGAATATGATGACAAGCCAAAACAAAGTCACCGCAGCCGTAGTCCAGTACGTGTTCCCAGAGAAAGGTCTGATCACAGTGAAACACGGAAAAGTGGATGTGAGTTTTAAATTGTTCTTGTTTTGTTTTTTTTAATCAATGGTTATTGTTGAGACTATTAAGAGATTATTGTGGCTCCAACGTAACTCATACTAATTTTAATTTTTTTCTTTTCTGCAGCATCAAAAGAAGAGAAGCCTGAGAGCAAAGATCTGCTTGCTGATCTGCAGGATATCAGTGATAATGAAAGGAAGACTAGCACTGCAGAATCCTCCCTGGGTGAGTTAAATTGTAACCTACAGATTTAGCCATTAGCAGATAATAATAATAATACATTTTATTTATAGGCGCCTTTCAGACCCTCAAGGTCACCTTACAGTAACACGTAAACAATACCATAAAAAACATAAGAAAAATGTATATATAGCAAACATGGTAGATAAAATTTAGACATAAACAGTCATAAAAGTATAAAAGCAAATATAAAAACT